GTTGAAAAAAAATCTGTTAGAATGATTGTGAAGCTTTTCTAACATCACAGACTGTGCAACTAGTATTAGAGGGTAGAAACCAGACAAATACTTTGTGGTGTCAAATCTGTAAAACCATTACTCATGGTTTTACAAGAATGGCCAGTGCCCACAAAAACAAACCTAGGCTTCCAAAGACGAATGCATTGAAAAACATGTGCACGCCACTGATCTAATGGGGCAGTGTTTTTACAGCTGGCACCAGAGAAGAAGCCAGTGCAAACAGTGACACGGACCATCTCAGTGAATGGGAACAGCCTGGGGCGATCCACGCACCCCAACATAAAGCTGTCACATGCTCAACCACAAACATAAACTGTACTGTCTAAAGAAGGATTAAGCTTTATTATTCGCTAAAGCTAGACATGTTTTTGGCCGTGAACACCAGGCTGCAAAGGGCGGCAACACTGTCACTGTAATCAGGCAAAATGGGATTTGGTGAAGTCTAAGAAAATCTGCAGGTCCTGATCCTCAAGATTAACCTCAAAACTGTATTTGATCAGCCTCCAGGTTTGTGTAACAAGGAGTGTATATTCAGAGTGCTGCTTTCCCCATCTGCATGACCGCAGTTCTTGGCTGCTGTCACTGTATCCTTCTGCACATGGTTCCCACGCCCCTTTCTGAGCTAAGTACATATTTAGGGAAATACTGAGCAGAAAATCATATGTTTTTTTCAGCGAACCCCAAGTCACCTTTAAGGAGCAGCTCATAATTGAATTTAGGAACTAAAAACTAAATTTTCTTTCATAATAAATTAAGCAGATGCATGGTTATAGCAACACAATGATTTTAGGGAATATTCATTCTACAATTTCATCAGGGCAAGTAGCTTATGATAATTTAAGTAATTTCTAGCCTATAAAAACTGCATTGACAAAAAAATCCTAAGAAAATGTTAAGAAAAGGGCAAGTACCTGACCACTGAGAACATGAAAAAAACTGCTGAATAAGGATGACCGCGTGTCTGGAATGCTAGATTCGAGGATCAATGTTAAACACAGTGGCCTCCCATGACAAAGCCATTCAGAGCAAAGTTTAAGCTAAAATCTATATTCAGATTGCTGAAAAAAAAGGCAGGTAAAACTCTGTTTATCATTGTTAAATTTCAGGTTCTTACACAATATATAATGAATAATTCTTCTAATAGACTTTTTTGGGGGGTTAAAGGTCTCTATACATGCGTTTACTTTCATTAAGCTCACAGTTTACTACAGGTGTCGATACAGGTGTTATTTTGCTTTAATCTGGCACCTTTTGATAGGTTAAAGTAATGTTGTGAATTATCCTTGCACAGCATAAAATAAAAAGTTTTTAAAGTTGAAAATCCACAAAGCAAAAGTCCTCATTAAACTTTTTCAGCGTCGAAGTAAATGTTGTTGTTTTAAAGTAAATTTAATCTGGACTCAATTATTTAGTTTTTATTTAGACATTAGACAGATTTACTTTGTCATTTTGTATACATGAATGTAAACAAAAAGAATTTTAATTTAAAACAGCTCTAGACAATTTCATTTTTTAAAATACAGCCTTGTAAAACAGTAATAAATACATTAAAAAATAGTAATATAAACATTTGACTGTATATTTAAAATTATAT